TTGCTTCTCTTTCTCTCTGCTGTTGTGAGCTATCCTCTATTTTAAAGTTAAAATTTATCAATCTACTTCTTTTGTTTACTTATATAATAACTTTACTTAATGTTCTTATTGCTATTATGTCTGTTACATCTGTTGCAAACAGTAATGCTGTATATTTATCTATTCTTGTTTCTATAACATCTGTTGTTTTTAGTATCTTAACTAGCTTTGCATTGCCAACTCTTTGCAAGCTTTGTGTTATTGATCTTTTTAACATCTTTTCTAATAAGCTTCCAGGTCTTACTTCATATATATTTCCTTCTATACTAATTGTTGTCATTTTATTTGTCAGTTAGTTTAGTGTAACTATTTTTATATTATGTGTTTGCTCTGATAAACTATTTTTGTACATGTGCTTGTTTGTTTACTTTATTTGTTTTGTTGTATTTTCCATATAACCTAATTGATTTGTACAACAAGGTCACTGAGATTTTCCAAAATTTTAACAAAAAATTTTTGTTTTCATCAAAAAATTTTATTTTTCCAAGCTTTGCTATCTTTAAGCTTTTTTTATTTGTATTTTGTTCTTTAGTTAGATGTAAATTTTGCAGCTCTTTCTTTTTTACTAAGGGTCTCAGTATTGCTTCCTAGTAGGTTTTGTAATTTTTTCTATATATTGCTTCTTACTGATTTTTGGTCAAGGAATCTGCATAGAAATAATAATACTATTACATTTAAATTAAAATTACTATAAGATATTTTCTAAAATTCATTTAATAATCTTGCTGACCAGCTTGTTCACAGTTACCAAATACTACTCTTTCTAATATTTTTAAGTAACAACTCTTATAACTATGCATATACTCTATTTATTGACCAATTTCCTATTGAGATTCTTATTCGACACTCTATTTATACTATCTGTCAAGCTTATATTATAATACTTTGAATATCTCAACATTATTTTCAACAATGGTCTACTATTGCATCTAATATTAACTAGGAAGCCACTTGACTTTATATTAATAATAATCAAAAAGTTTCTAACTTTGCATATAGCTTTTATTTTTCTATTTTAAAAACCTTTTGTGTTAAAATTCTTTTAGATGAATTACCTGTTCCTTATATTCTTTACAAATGCAACTCTTATTACTCTTCTTTCTGCCATTAATACAATTAAACTAGTTTTTTATTACACTGGACTTTCTGTCTTTCTACTCAAACAATCCATCATTTAATCTCTAATTCTCTTAACTGCATATTAAATGCTACTGCTCTTAACATGTTCACTAATTTTGTTTCTAATTTACATCAAGAAATTCTTATACTTAACAGTTTTAAATTTTAAAACTTTTTTTATATACTATCTCTTATTTTTACTTTATTTGGCTTAGTTCTTATTGACCTTATTTCTATTATTTACAATACTTCTATTTTTTACTATACAGCTACCTCATTTTTTATTAAATTTCTTCTTTATTTAAACCAACAAATATATAAACAAATATGGATTCTATATTGTATTTTATAGTCAGCACAGTCTTTAATTACATCTTTTACAAACTCAACTTATAATTTTCTTTCTAGTCTACTATTACCTTCTATCTCAATATCACAAATTATTACCAAAATTAATCTTTGGACTATCCAATAAATTAAATATCATACCTTTTTCTTATATATTATTACTAACACCCAAATCTAGATGAGCCTTGGTCACTTTTGTAGATTTAGATTACAGATTGTATGTCTAAGTCTTTATTTTTATGTAATTTAAAAGCAAGCTTTTTTTTATAAAAACTTCAATTGAATTTTAATAAAGTTAAAGGCATGGTCTCATCATTAATATTTAAAAAAAAAAATAATAATTAAATTAAACTACTAAATAACATATTTATTTATAATATATCAGATGTACTATTAGTCTTTTTTACTCTAACAAGCTTAATACCAAATGAATTTATTAACATTATTACAAATTTATCTTTTAAAAAAGTAATTATATACTTTTTATAAAGTTTTTACTTTATTTTAATTAACAAATCTATTACAAAATCTGAATTTTTTATTATATTTAAAATATATAACTTAACTTTCTAACTATAACTTATTATTAAATTCTGGTTTATTCTTATTATACTTTCTTTTTTCTAACTTAATTAGTTCAAAAAATTAACTCTTGATATATCTAATAAATCAAATATTAAACTAATTTTTTATACATAATTACTAATATCTAAATTTAGATAAACCTTAATCATTTCTGTTGGTTTAGATTATAAATAAATTAGTTTGAACTTTTATTCTTTCTATAATATTTTAAAAGTAGATTTGTACTTTATATAAAATCTTAATTTAATATTTAATGAAGATAGAAACATGACCTCATCATTAATATTAAAAATATATTTGTTTGTTAATTATTGTTTGTTGTTATTTGTTTTCTAAATTAATATCAATTTTTTAGAAATTTAAATTTTTTTTATTTAAATTTTTAATAAGTCTTGTTGCTTTTTTAAAAAATATTTTTTTATAATTATACTTCTAATAAGAAATATGTATTTTTAAATATTGTATTTTTTTTTCTAATAGTTTAAAAAATGTTTGCTAGTTTATTTTTTTGTACTATTCTTATATATTTATTTTTAATTTTTTCAAAAATAAGGATTAGTAAGAGTTTTTAATTTTTTGTATATATCATTTTACTTCTTTATATATTTAAACTTAAAACTAGAGTTTAGAAATAGGTTTATTGATAAAAAAGTATATGTTATAAGTTTAAATAGAAAACTCTCAATCTAATATAAGCTACTACAATTTTTATTTTACCAATACTTAATTACCAATATATTGCTATTCAAAATAATAAGACTACAAACTTATATAATTAGTTTTCATATTTCAGATGGATTAGCAAAGTAAGAATTTAAAATTTGTATTTTTTTTAATATATCAACCAATCTTTTACATATATCACGTGATAAAACAAAGCTGAATTGTTGAGTTTTGCAAAATAAAAACAGTTTCAGTTTCTAATTTCATTATAATCTTTTTTATATTGATCTATCGTCATATAACGATAGTTACTGCCTAAATGCTAATCAATAAGATATTGCTTAATGCGTAATTGAAAGCATACAATAAATGATAATGAAATTTATTTTATCAGCACTCATGTAACTTGAACTAGACTACACCTGATTTTACTTCAACAAAAGGAACCTATTTATATATAATCGTTACACTTAATCCTCCTAGTATAACCACCAAAATCATTAATTAAAATTAGATCGTTATAATTCTTAGCTAAATAAAGATATAAAAAAAAACGGTACGTATAAAGTGCAGGCATTTCGGACCGTAATTTACCCGATTCTTGCTAATCTTCATTATTGATTTCCAAGAGCGGTTTGGTCCCTTTCTATTGCAAAAGAATATTTTCTTAATGAGATTTATTATAAAAGTTTTTAAATTGATTTGTCTTCGGAAGGTACGACTAATAAATTTAGCCAGTTTTTCTTTATTATAATTGTATTGTTACGGACGAAAAGTGAATAAAGATAAAACTGCGCCATAAATCCCGTGAGTAAATAATTAAGACGCCACCAATGTCAGACTTTGAACCTTCGGTTATGATGCATGAGGATTGTTGGCTGAATTTGTAACTTAGGTCAAGTAACAGATACAAACTAAAACATTCTCAATGAAAGATACGCGTGGCGGTGTGTTGGAATTTTGAGCGGAAGGGATAGTCAAAGTCTCCTAATCATACTTCTAAGAAGATATTTAAAGGAATAATAACATCGAGAGCGGTTGGTTACGACTCTTATATGCGGGTAAGAATCACTATAACAAGACCCATTAGTCAGTTTATATATGGGCTAGGTGCTGGAAAAAGGGACCGAATTGACAATTTTTTAAATATAACTAATTTAAAATTAGTTCAGGAACATTTATCACTTAAGAAAGAAATGCTGTTGCATTAATAAAAATTTACAGTATAATAATTTGAATCTGTATTTTTCTATAAGTTAATATAATTTTCCGCAAAATATATTCTTTGTCAATTTGGTCCCTTTTCCCAGCACCTAGCCCATATGGGCTGCCGTCAATAGAAATCAAGCAGATCTACATTTGAAAAAAAAATCAATGCCTTAACTTTCACAGCTCATATATCGATGAATTTAAAGCTATCTTGGTAATTTAATATTCAAAAGAAAGCATAGATTGTAAGCTTTCTTTTAAATATTAAATCATCAAGATAACTTTAAAATTCATCGATATATGAGCTGTGAAAGTTAAGGCATTGATTTTTTTTCAAATGTAGATCTGCTTGATTTCTATTGACGGCAGCCCATATGTTAAACCCACCCCGTGATAGTATCCAATTTACGGCCTAGTATAAAATTTGATTCAATAGCTTTTAAGCCATTTCCATTATTGTAAGAATATTGTAGACTTTTAAGATCAAGCGTCTACATATACATATAAATCCATCAACTCACCAGTTTCAAATGTAATCTCAGTCAGCCCTGGCTATAACCACACCATTGGGCCAAAAAAGAGGGACTATAATAAGGTTGTGCTTTTAGGAAGATAAAATTAATATATTTTTAATAAGTTGGGGCCTAATAAAAATATAACTGCGATTATAGCCAATGTGACTATAGTGAGGGCTGACTGTATTTTGAAATTAAACAAAAATATTACAAACCAAATTTTAATATACAATTTCAAAATCAACCTTTACCAAAGATTCATTTTTTTGTCTCTTCCATAAACCCCATAAATACAACCACCATTTTTAAAGATGATAACATCTGTCACTTTTAATGTGCTATTTATAGAAAAAAATAATATAAGTAAACAAGTAAAAAAATTCACTTATGTGAAGGACCAAGATAAAGACAGTTAAACCTAATATACAAGGCAGGTTATAGCATCCTTCGTGGTTGTAAAAACGACCTCAGTTTTAGCTTTAATTAACATAGGTATATTCTTACACATCGGATACTATTTTTATGGCACTATTCGCTAGTACCGTTTTCAATGGAAATCAGAAACGGGTAACGGACTAGAAAAATCTCAACCACGGTCCATATAAGCATGCCAAAGCTTATATCTGCGAACAAATTATTGGTCATAGTCCAGGAATAGTAGCATTTGGAGATCTCTCGAGGAAATGCACCTGGTCTTGTTAAGAGCTTGCACCAAGAATTATTAAAGAAAAGGTCAGGGCAAAAGGATTCGACTTGTAGATGAACTGCCGGACGAGTATATTATTATAAGTCCAAAATGTAATAAACAGATACGTAGTGAGCCATGCAAGAACACGTGTAAGTTTCTATAACTGATAAGGTTTCTATAAAAGCTTAAATGAGAATTTTATCACTATTTATACATTTTTTTTAGACCCTTTAAAAATCGTGATATAAACGCATCCCGTTAAGATTCATCGTCTGTTTCTTTCTATGAAATCTAGCAATGGTGAACATTTAAAACATCTCTAGACGACCTAGATAGGGAGGAGAAAGGCTGAGATAGAGATGAAAGAGTAATCGTTCGTCGTAGCTATTTCGGGAATAAGTCGGACGCATGGGTGAGAACAGACATGACCGTATAACGCGTCTGTAAAGTTATAGCTAGCTGGAATTTTAAGTGTATTCATTCATTTTAAATACATATTTTATAAGTTAAAAGTATATAATTATAAGTATGAAGTATATACCAATGAATTATTCCAGATTGATACAGTTTCAGAAACTTGGATAATCTCTGTACTAGCATGTAATGGTAATACCATTGACCTTTTCTTTACAACCTATCAAAGTTGCAACTCTAAGTAGGAGACGACGATGATACTGAAACGATAACGATGAGTTGAATGTTAGCATAATGGATTGACGATTTGCAGTTATTATTACTATCAAGGTTTTTAGAACACAATCTCAATTGATTCTATCTCAAGATTTGCTATAATATAAAAGTCTTTTCTTTTTCTAAGTATTGCACTACTTTTAAGAGCCACATTCCCATATATAATATAATCATGCAATTAAAATAATTCAATCAATCATGCTGAATTTTTTTATAGTGGTAAAATTCGTTGACTAATGGCATCTTTGAAGTATACCGATACGTTTTCGTTATCTAACCTATTTTAAATTGAAAGTTTGAGTTACGTAATACTCGGATAATTTGGGAACCAATACTAATAATGGTTAAAGGGCTTTGATCAAGTTTTATCGCTAAATCTTAAGTAGATGGTTCGTGAACGATGGTCCTTGCGATAATGTTTATGCATGCCAATATCAATAATTGTTTTTTTTTTTTTTTTTTCTGTGGTTAATATCGTAACATAACGATTTCTAGAATCAGTTTTCTTAAACAAAAATAAAAAAAGGCTATAACCGACTGATTGAAAATTCATTGCACCAACCAACAAATTTTTTTTAATGAATGCGATATTCACAATGACATATACATGCAAACACACCTTTAAAAATTGATATCGTGAAATCATTGATCATCCCAGAAACCTATATATAGTTTTATTACATATGCACAGGATTTAATATATTTATAAATAGATTAAAAATATAAAAATAACAATAAATTGTACGAATATAATGATCACAAAACTTTAAATTTTAAGTCTCAAATATCAATAGCGCGATAACTGTATGCAAAGTAACCATATTTTAATAAATGTGTTCAAAACTAAATCTTTGACGTTCAAAAAAAAAATTCTTCTGTTAAAATATAGATTTTTGACTATCAAAAAATGATTTCTTCAAACACGTTACTTTTTAATAAAAAAAATTCTGTTTATTATAGAGAGAAACATCATTCTCTCTCTTTACCTTCACCTCCACCTTCACCTCATGAATCAGCATTGAAAGGACTATTCGGAATCAGTGAAGTGTTATCTAAATTTGACTCCATCAATAATACATTGCTTAACTCACAACAAAATGAAACGGAAAATACTTTTTTTCCTTCTATAAAATGTTTATTAGACGCACCAATCAATGATTTAGACAATATTAGAAAAACAAAATCGATAAATAAAACAACGCCATCACATTGCCTTTCTAGATTTTCATTATCTAACGCTAAGTCATCCCCACTTAAGACAAGTCACACGATGACTGAGTTAATCTTTAATGATAATAACTCGTCTTATTACACTAATCAGGATAAAAATAATATAATCACTTGTAGAACCTCTGTTAATCGGCAGTACAATATCTTTAGGAATATTTATCCACCTCAAACCTCCAGCATAGGTTCGTCTTTAATAACTCCTAAAATTGACGATCCTATTAATTCTCCAAAATTTTCATTCATGCAATCTCAGCCTGTACTTGAACCTGAATCATACGAGTTTTTTTCAGAAAAAGATACAAAATTTAAAAATCAAGAATTAAATGCTCAAGAATTACATGTATCTCAAAAATTAAATGAGTTACCAATTTATCAGTTATCAACAAAGAGACAACAGCGTCAGAGAAGTATCCAAATTAAACGCTCAGGTACCTCTGCACCTCAACGCAAACGAAAGGGAAATAGCCTAGCTAGAGTAATGGCTGATCAAGGACTTTTAGAATCAGTTTTCAATACCAATATTACTTCAAATGATATAAAGTCAGTTCGAATACCACCACCGCTTCCGATGCAATTTGATGAATTAATTTCTAATATCAATGCACTTGAACTTGATACTGATGCATTAGAAAAGATATCTCCTGAAATTTCTTGGAAAGGACAACCATTATCTATCGCACATTTACCTCACTATAACGCTCTGCACCCTACAGAAGCACATATAGTGTCTATTCTTCGTCTCACGCCAATACAATATTTAACTGGGAAACATACACTTATTTCAGCAGCTCACAGATACGCTCAAAAAGCACTCCCATTCAAGAAAAGTGATGCGCAAAAGCTACTCCGAATTGATGTTAATAAAGCTAGTAAACTGTGGGAATTTTTTCATCAAGTTCATTGGATCTAGAATAGTTTTATCGTAAATAAATAAATAAAATCTATACTAGGTCACGCCGGTAGTATCTAAAACCATAGTTGCTATGTCTCAAAAACTATCCAAGTACTAAAGTGATTAGCGCTTGATGATGATTTAAGCAAAAATATTTAGCACCCCAAAACTCATTTTAATTTCTACCCTCATTCTAAATCTTATCCTAAATTTTGTCCTAAATTTTATCCTAAATTTTGTCTTAAATTTTAGTATAACATATATATGGCGTTGAGCATCACTGATGTGATTTAAAATTATTGGAAAAAAATACATTGGTTTTTAATTCGGGTTATATTTTCCACATTACGCCGATATACTCTGCAACTTTTTCTTTGCTTTGTTCATGTTACATTTCTGTAAATACGATTTAATTAATACATGTATAAATTCAAATATTTCTTTTTTTTTTTGTTATATATTTAAATTCTGTAAAAAAAAAAAAAAAATTCATATTTCTGCAATAAATTTGCTTTTAAACATTGTGCGTATCAAACATTAGTGATATTAAATAAAAGATTAATATGGGCGTAACTTATTAGTATCGTCAGTAATCTTGTAATTGTTTGTGTTTCAGAGAAATTTTTTTCGTAGAATAGATTGAAAAAAAATTATAAGCATTTAATTGTTTTTTTTCCAAATAAGCTTAACACCAATAACATTATTAGTCAGCATTCACTCATCAAACCTTAATTCCGGATCCTCCGGTTTAGTTCCGGAAAATTTTAATAAAAAATTGTTTCACGTGCGTTTTCTTGTATGAAGACATATAACCGAATTAACACATATATATATTAGCCTTAGTTACCTAGTGCAAACTTTCATACATTAGTCCTTACATTCCCCTAAATGAGAGGTGACATTTCATATAATCTAACAAATTTTTAAAAAACCGAATGGATGTATCGATCATTCAGACATTATTTTAATGTCGGATTTGTTTTCCTATTATGGTATGGGGTGTAGGCTTACTCTTAAAACGTTTACAAACAGGGAAACTTATAGAAGGCCAATGCGCAACTACGTTTAGGAATTTGAAATCAATGGCTCCTTAATTATCTTAGAATGTTATGTATGGGGTGAGCATGGCACGTACATAAAGATAAATATACGATTTTTAGTATTATGTTTCATAAAATTGTACATACCATATATTCTTGTTTACATATAGTAAATGATTGAAATATCTCAAGATTTCCTTGGCAATAAATTTTTTTTTGTGGTTACCCCATTTATCTTTATGACGACATTTAGAGGTTTTAAATCTGGAAAAGTCGGAGTCAAATCCAAATTATCGCAAGGCTAAGTTGGTAATATTTGTTTTGCATAATGATAATATGTTACAGTACACCAAAAGTGTAAAAACTTATTAGGCAACAGATTGATGATCAAAGTTTCACTACTATCAATAAATGAATACGTATACTTTCTTTAAGTTGTTCTGTGCAGTGCAAATTTCGCATAGATCCGTTCTTTTTGTGTCAGCTATAGTAATATTATTCAAAAAATGAGAATTGACTAATTCAAGAGTATCGCAAAAATTCCATAATCCTTTGACATTTACGTAATAATTAGGCAATTCAACAGAATTGAACAAGACTAGTTAGTGTCCTAATAACAACCCGAACTGATCCTTGGCAAATCTTTAAAATATCTTACCGGCTGAATTTCATATAAAGTTTAGGCACTAACTTTGAATAGCTTTGAATAACTTTGAACAAATAGTGTGCGCTTTAAACTTATATATTTTAATTTTATAGCTTTAAAGAGAATGTTAAAGTTATCGTTATGAATTTTGAAAAATTCCTCACATGATTTTGTATGTGTCACATTATTAGAGTACGAATCTTTTTTACTACAATCAAATCAGAGTGTAAATATGTAAATTTTTGATTATCCCGGATCAACCCGACATAACTGAAAATACAAGAAAACGAATGCTTAATCAGCTTTGTAACACTAATTAAAATTATTAAAATTGAAGAAAGCATATTTATCATATAATCTTTAATCCTAATTATTATCCTAATTTTTAATGTTCTAACTCATTTTTTTTTTTCGCCAGATTTCTTATTCAGGCTTTGTATTACTCGCACAGATAAGTATTTCATAAAATACGCTTTCCGTAAAATGCAACCCAAGATTATAAAACCTTCTAAATAAATTCCTTATAAATGCTTATAACAGCCTATAACGTTCATATTGTCTTTTTAGTCAATGGTGCAATTGGAGATGTCTAGCTATATATGGAACGATGTTTTTGAATCCTTCTATCAGAAGCTATCTTTCCCTGTGGTACTAAAGGATAGCTTTCGAAACTTTACAGGTCTCGTATAATCCATAAATTAACTGGTCTAAAATTGGTAAAGAGCTTCAATGATTTGTCAATGAAGGAAGACCTTCAGGGTTATTAAATTTGGAATTACGTCATGTAACTTACGTAAGTTACTATAAACTTACATCAGAATTACGTAAGTTATAATATTATTATTAACTGTCTAAATTCTAAATTGAATTTTTTTTTTAATAAAACATGAACAAAAAAAATATTTTTTCCTAATTCATAGCGATAGTCATATGCGTAAATCATTATTTAAGTCATTAATTTTGTAAGTCTTTTCAATGTACTAACATGGTAATTATCATAAGGGAAACACAATAGCGCCAAGCTTGTGAAATCCGACGGATTTTCAAGATCGATACATCTTATACCTTACAATCGCATGTACACATGAGCATAACTTTTGGATCCCTGCTCACCTGTCACATAATTTCTTTCGCATATTAATTGGTATCTTGCCGACAGTGGTCTTATTCAAATCGGGAATATATGAATTGTTAGCAGGCAATACTAAATTATCTGTTGTGTCATTGGAATTGATAAAACCGGCAAAACAGCCGGACCAAGCATAAAATTTGATGACTAATCTTTATTAAGAACAAATTTGTTTCGCATGACTCTAATAAAATTTCTTATCTTTTTATAAATTTTATCTAAATTTAATGTAAATTTTAATGTTTAAATGTCTCGTCGCAATGATCATGTGGGAAACGCGATTTAAATTAAATGGTTATTTATTTTTCCTGCCATCATGATCAGGTTTGGTTATTCGTTATTTATCACAAGACTATTCTTTAAAAAAAATCTTGAAACTATCTAATGCCCGTAATGTCGGTCTACCTTTATTAAACTCTTACAAGCAAGGGATTATAGCTTATGATATTAAATAAGTATATATAGCATACACGTATATGCGTAATATAAATAGTAAAAAGTCACGTTTTTGAATCATTTGCATTAACTTGATTAACTTGGTTGATGTTGGCATAGAATCCATAAATACAATTAAATACAATTAAATACAATTAAATATAACTAATATAACAATAGGAACACGAACTCTCCTTTGATCCATTTATCGTGCAGTTCATGCAAAAAATTCAATATTAATCATTAAAACATAAAAATGAAACCACAAAACAGGACTACATTATGCAACCCTAAATATAAATATCGTGCCCTTTTGAGGTAAAGCTTCCACACATACTTGCATTTTTTTGGTAAATCCATGCAACACCGCATAGTACAATAATTTATATTTTTAACCCCACATGCGTCGAATTCTCATTTTAACAAAAGAGATTACATTTTTAAAATATGGACAAATAGTATTTCAGGGTTATTTTGAGGGACCTTAATTATAATAATATTATATAATAAGACGAAAATTTGAAAAAAAAATGCGGTGTGATCATAAAATAAAAATATTGGTTATTATTTATTATATTTGATTGTTTCTTACTGTTTAGCAGGATTCAGAACATTTTCTCTGGTTATGACCTGTTATAATATTTACACAAAATAGATAATATTAATAAATCCAACAAAATTAATAACAAATTAATGCAAAGTCACATTACAAAAAAGTGACAATTTTTTCGCGGCGAATCATAATTAAAATAATTTATTTATGATAATCAGTTTATCAACAACCGGCATATTATCTGTAACACCAACAAATCAAAAGAGATTGAAATTACAATAAAAAAAACCCCCAAATTGAGTTGCATAATGCAATTATTATACCCGGATTAAGAATCAAAACAATTTGAGTACGAAAAAGACATTTGCACCATCGAATCATTTATATGCTTGATTTAATTTAGGTTCATTCAAACCTGAGTGAGACTAAGTGAGAAGGGGTTAAGTGAGTGATAAATAGATATCACGCCATCTTGAATGTTAAATGTATGCTAATGATTTTTATGAAAATGTTTCTTGGCAACATTCTTCGTTAACTATATAGGGTGAGACATATGAGATGATCAAACAAGAAACAAAATATTCATGTATATAATTATTGTTATAAAGAATTAATGTTAAGAATATAATGGGAGAACGGAATGTAGCAGAATATGTTTGAACTTTCAACTTTCTTTTGAATACGCACGACATTTGACGTCACTTGTTGGTTACGCAAGGGGTCATTATTATGCAAGTTGAGATAATTGACGCGTATATTGGTGGTATATTGGTGGTATATTAGTGCTTGATAAGAAATTCCACATACTTTTTTAAATAAACATTTTCAAACGTTTTGTATATCTATAAATGCTATGTAAAACTTATTGGAACCAAATTTAGTCATGTTGTTAACATGATTTCTTAATCCATTGTTGAATATAATTAGCAATCTAGTATTCACGTGACTGAGGCGTTTAGGGGTTCAATTTTTTAGGTGACAAGAAAAAAAAAGAATGCAGATCAAGTCCAGAAGGATATGTATTTGGCGAAATTTCGAACACATTAGAAACATTTCAATAATGCATAAATTTAAAAGTATAATATAAATGCTTAAATTTGCTCTAAAGAGTTCACATTTGTTTATAACATTTATGCAAGATAAATGATTAACATTATTGCGGCATTGATGATAAGTAAATGTTTATTATAAGTATTTTGACAGAATATTAAATGA